CACACACACACACACACACACACACACACACACACACTGATGTAGACTCGAGCGTCTGATCTGAGATCTGATCACTCACTTCGCTTGTGCTTCTGCTTGCATAAATATAAACTCCCATTTCCGTGCAAAAGCTCTCTGTAGTCTCGCCAAACTCTCCTGCAGAAAACACACACACAGAGTCAGCAAATACAATCCTTACATCGGACTTCATCAAACACACTTCAGTTGATAAATCCTGTACAGAATGAGATCTTCATTAATCCAGATCAAACAGAAAAGAGAGACACTCACAGCTTCATAATCAGCCAACTCCAGACGAGCTTTATTCTGCATGGTTCGTTTACAGAGGTAAACCGCTGCAGACAGACAGAGAGAGAGAGAGAGAGAGAGAGAGACGGTTTCAGAATTCAGTATCAGCAGTCGTTGTCTGCATACGTCTGCAGTGTAAACCTGAAGATGCTTTGGATCTGATATTTCAACAGCTTCATATGAGATTCAGATTCGACTGAGCTTTACAGTATTCACAGACACACACATTCAGACACATAACAATGCAGTGGTTCTCGTCCAGGGGCCCGGGGCCCACTAGAGGGCATCAGCACACTTCCAAACCAAGATGATGAAAACAAGCATTAAAATAAGAAAAAAACAACTAAAATAACATGTAAACTAAGCTTGTATTTCTTATTTTAATGATTTAATGATTTTTATTTATGAATCAGGATTCTCAGTCGTGGAAAATATGGATATATGAGGGAATTGTAAAAGTTTAATCTCTAGACCTGGAAAAGTTATGCAAATTAATAAAATCTTAAAAAGTCATGGAAATTTTTATAATGAATATGAAGTTATGTCATGCTCTAAAATATTTTATTGGGTAAAAATAGCTGAGAAATTGCTGTTTGTGAGTAAAAAATACTTAAAAATGCAATTCTGAAATTGTGATTTTTAGATCTGAAAAAGATAGAAAAATTTATAAATTTTTAAAAACCTTCTGAAGTGATATAATTTAATTGTTTTAATTATCTGATTTATTTAATTTAATTATTTTAATATTAAATAAATTGTATTCAATTATAATTTAACATTTAATATTAAAATATTAATTTAATTATAATTAATTTTAATCAAATTAAAACAAGACTTCTGCAGTCAGCGCAGGGAAGACATGTTTCCATCTAATGCTTTACTCATCTTTATAAGATCATCTCTTTGAATTAGCTTCATTTGGGAGCTTTTCATTTGATTAATGAATTATCATATCATATATTTAAAATGATGGATATTATAATCAATGGACAGGTCTAATTAGAGCTGGAGTGTGTCACTGAGGACTCTGATGAACATCATGTACAGTTTGTTGATCGATTGGCCTGATCTGGTCCGACACTTTCTCGTGTTTCAGGACACCAGCGCTCAAGAACATCAGAGGAGGATAAAACACAAATACAGGCCACACACACACACAC